AGGATATGCAATAAAAACAGTAGAAGAAAGTCTATCAGTAACACAAAACCAAGAAGACTTTCTACTATTATCAAGAAAAATAATTGAAAAACATAAAGAAAATAATTATAAATATTTACACATTGGATTAATACAAATAGCTATTAAACCGTTAACTCGTTTAGGGTTAAACACCTCAGTGCTCGTATGCCTAAGAGATACGAGACACAATAAGTTTTCGGACTCACTCCTTGGCATGGTTGAATCCAGCCTTTGTAGTGGACCCATTTATTTTAATTGTTGTCCAAATTTTTCTGTTTCATTAACCGACCCTAATATTCTAGATATCCTAACTATCAATCTGAAAACTTATGGATTTAATATGATTCATGGTTATCAAAATTTAGCTATAGTATATCGAATTTATTACAAAGTTATGAATACTCTCTGTCCTAATATTATGCAAACAGATAAGAAGGATCAAACCGTATTATTTCAAACAAATATAGAAAAATCAAATACAATTATACCCAAAACCATTACCTGGTCAGATATTATTTTACCTCAATCATGGGCACTGCAAAATGCAAACCAGCCCAGAGAAGTACCCGTAAATAATATTCCCAATCAAATAATAGAACATCAAGATGGAAATATTGAAATAAAATTTCAAAGTACTAAATCACAAGATGATTTAGAATTAACTAGAAAAAGGATTCGAAACTAATGATTCCAGCAGGGAAATCTTGTCATACAACCCCAGATGTCATAATACTTCCTTCTCCATCAATACCTACAACATCTGAACCAGACATAGATGAGTTTCAAATACTTACTTTACAAGTCGAAGAAGATATAAACATAAGAGGAATATCTAGCATATAGATTACAAAGAAAACAAAAAAAATCAGACATCGAATATATAAAACAAGACTATTTAACTTCAGAAAATCAAGGTATTAGAGAATGGTATCTTAAAACATTCAAACCTAGGTTAGTAGAATTATTCCATAAAAAATATAATAAATTCTTGAAAAAGGAAAGAGAAACAAAAGGATTTTTTATATGGTTACAAAAAATTTGTACTCAATATAAAATTACAATTCCTCAGTTCCATACTATTCAAACAATTGAAGAGAAAACTTATATAAGTACAGATGGAACTACTACTTCTAGTACCCATTCTCCTGTCAAAAGTATTATACTCAAAGGAGTCAATACTCCACCAGTAAAAGGAGAACCACCTCAATCCCTATATGAAATTATTGCAACACCTTATAAGGTTGTACCTAAGGATATGATAAAAAAACATGAATTAATACCACATATTATTGAGCAAAATAATTATACCAACTTATACATACAATCTTTAGGAA